GTTAATTAGTATCGGGAACTAATTTAAAGACTATTATGATGTTCTAAATGACCAGACCTATAATCTTGTTTTATATGATGATATTATTAATAGATCCCTCTTATATTATATGCCAGGTGGAAATAAACAATACATATAACAGGCGTTGATTAAAAATAATTAATATAATCAGGAATAATGAGATACGTTTATTAAAGAGGTATTTCACCTGCGTATTCCTGAACACTGACTATTGGAATAGCTCCCAGATTTGCCAGGAGAAGCATCAGTGGAGCGATCAAGGACGCATGTCTCGTCGCTGGCGTGGGATGAAAACCCAGAAGCGGTTTCAACTAAAACGGGCATCATTTTGTTAACGTTGACTAAAGATGTTTTTTAGTTCTGCTTTATGATCTTTCGTCGACTATCAAAAATCCTTTTATGTTGACTCACGATCAACCGGGTTAGGAAATGAAAGAAACTTACTATGTATTTGCATAATATAAGAACAAATGTAAGGAGCTTGTTAACATATAAGATTTATATACAGAGTTTGAATTGCATATTTCGGCACGCTGAAATAACATGTTGACGAAAAAGAAAGATGTAATTATGAACTATCGTTGCACTTGTAACGTGCTCTTGAATATGATATGGTTGTTAAATGGTTGGGTTTTTTTCTCGGAGATTGAAATACACGAGGGCCTTACAGTCTGGCACGAAATTGATAACCTCTTCACATTTTATGATCAACGATAAATTCTTTGAATAAATGCTAAGCTCAAACCAAAATGAAATAAATATGCTAGAGATAGACATGGGAATCTGGCTAATATACTTAGATTAGCCACATTAAACAATACAGTTAATTGAAATGAACTTTTCTGCATTAATGAAAACTGATATGTGCTATGCACTGACGCGGGATAACCGCACCGGAAAATCCCAGGGACTTTGTCGGCCAACAGCGGAATCGAACTCGGTACCTCCTGGGATTCGATCCCTTTCTTAACCGAGTAAGTTCTCTGTGGATTACGGTGCATTATAGGAGGTATCGCATGCAAAAGCTTGTTGTCGTTCGAATGATACGAAAATCCGTTCTGTACACCATCGGCAGCACATTTAAAGATCCTGAGAGAGACTGTTTGCATAAGCCCGATTGGTGCAGAAAAATAGGATGTTAAGCTCTATTTCTATTTCATGTCGTTATTGTGTATGTCTCTTTTATTCAGAAAAACGTCACTGTATGAGTGGGCAGTTTAATAATACTAAAATAATTTCATGAACAAATAACAAGATATCTCATTTAACAGGAAGACAAACAAGGGACATAATATGAGGGGTGATTAATGTATAAGGTCAAAGAGCCAACAATAACAAGGTTTTATAACAATATTATCAATATGTAATTAATAACATTGAGTGTTTTTGCAGGTATGGGGATTATATGTATATGTTTGTGATGAGATTAAGAGAGTTTTGTTAATTATCCACCTGTGTATTATTATATACCTTACACAATGGGATATATCAATGTCAAATGTAGTTATGATTTTCATTAATAAAAAGATTATTTTCGTCATTAGATATCCATTTATAGAATGGTTCTATTTATAAATAAAAGTTCATATTCAGAATTTTGAAGAATAAAATGCAAGTCTTAGTAGACGCAAACTATATTTGAATTTGGATTTTATGCCGCAGAGTATTCAAATTAATAATGCCAATTAACACTGATATTTTACACAAATTTAACTAGTAAGTTAATTAAGGGAACCCCTCAAAATTGAACAATCTTCTTCGTCATTGTTTACAATCCATGTTCACATTTGGTTAGGAAAGAACTTTGGAAAATATTAAGGGGTTTGCCTGTTGTTTAATCGTTTTACAATGACGGAATATTGTTTCAACTTTTGGGCCGACTCCGTGTTAGCATGCTATGCCGATTTGAATAGTGATTCTGCTATCTTTTTGAATAAGCCACAAATATATCTGGAATTAAATCATACAGAACGTCCCTTATTTGTGACCATATTGCTTTAAATGTCAACTTGCAATCAATCTGCAGATAAAGTCCATATTCTTGTTTTTCATAACTTGTGGATGAAATGTATGACCTTGAAAGTGTGTTAACTGTGTGTTCATGTAATATGTATAATAATAACACAGTGTACATAACCTGTCTCTGACTACTACACCTATCTAATTACTATATAATTTATAAACTAATTCTATCTTAGATTGTATTTAGTTTACAGCTAATAGAATATCCGATATTTACAGAGATAATACAGGTGCCCTTGAAGTCTTGTAGATATATCTGGCGGCTACAAAAAACTATATCAATTTTTTAGTTTTGTTCTTTATATCGATTATAAATTAGAATTGAAATGAAACGAAGGGAGGTTTTAACGTCTTACTTTTCTGTTCCATCCAAGCTGATGAAGACGAGCATACGCCATACAGTGTGCTATGGGGAACATTTTGCCCGAACAGCACCGGTATACTTCCTACTCTTGTTTCGAATTCCATATGTCAATGGTTCTTTTACGGGCACGCCAATGTGTACACGGAGCCGCGGTTTTTGTCCCAACCGAACGAGTAGACGATGTTCCTGATAAAATGGAAAGAATATAAAAGGTCACCACCCTTCCATCAAATGGCATAATTAAACTAACCTAAAATCCCCCCCCCTCTCTCTCTCTCTCTCTCTTTCTCTCTCTCTCTCTTGATTTTAACCACCTCATTTTATGACACAAAACTTAATGAGTTTCTTTTTTTCCTGATCGGGCCGTGATGTTCTTCATGGCTTGTGGGATATTGTTAATCAGTTCTAATACCCAATTATAAGAGGTTACCATGAAACACTCAGATGTATAAAACTCTGACGCAGACATTACACTGATTTCTGTTGTTTAGTCGGTCATATCAAAAGACTGGAAGTGGAGACGGGATGTCTGTAAACAATTCCACCCGATTAATCTGTAGAGTGGATTTTCGGATTATCTCCCACAGTAATGTTTATACCGGAGAGAAGTTAAGGATTTGATATGATTAACAGTGACGATAATACAAAGAGATTAATAAGGTTAGATTAAGGCGAGGACTGATTCAATCTCAGATTCACAGAGTAAACCGTAGTTCGCTCTTGCTTGTAGCAGGCGTCACGTCAATTCTTGTTACACTCTTAGGATCGCCATTTTAGTTTTTTGGGATTTTTTAGTCATACTTTACTATAGTGAGTTGCTGGTAAGTCGATTTCCTGAGTCATAAAATGTTACCAAATTTAGAATACTATTTTCTACAAAAGATATATTATTTTTAGATTGTGATAAGCATTTTTTTTTAACATGATAACTACTGAGGTGAACTCTCTGTCTTGTTGAGATATTGCCATTTTGACCATTAAAGATACATTATGTAAGATTACGATAAAGAGCTAGCCATTTGCTATAATAATTCGAAAATAGATAATGTAAAATGAATAATTTGAAAATTTCATTCAAATTACTCTACTGCGAGCGACGATATTAGCCTCTGAAGGTTTGACAAGACGTGTGCAATAATTTCAACCACTCGCTACTCCATTTTTAAATTAAATCAAAATATGGCTGAACCGTTCTAACCTATTTAATATCGGAGAAATCCGGTGCCATCGAGAGTTGATTAGGGTCTGGATCAGTTAATTAATGTCTAATTTATAATTTAGAAAACATTTCAGGCCTAAAGAAAGACCTACAAAAGGCAGATTTAGCTTTTGCATAATTTATGTTTAAGGGTGCGTGAAGAGAATAGAAATACTGAGCTCTACTAATTTTATTGCTAGGAAAATTGGAAATCCAGAGCCTCATTATTTTTTATATTTATATTATAACTCATGGGGCTGGACTAAAGAAATGAATATTCTATGCAAAATTATTGAATATAAATAACGGAGTCCAGATTCGGATCCATCACGCCTATTGTATACGCGCTGGATTTGTGACGGACTTTATTGTTGTACTTTATAAGAGTATATCTTTTCTTTTTATTTATTGTCAATAATTAACTAAAACATATCGACAATGGGTGTGCTAATCTGGCCATTCTAACAAAAGAAACAAGTACATAATTTGCTTCACATTGACATTCCCTTCGTTCCACTTCTAGGTTTGGCTGAGGTAATATATTAATTGGCTGCGGGAGAGGACCAATACGACGAAGTTTTTGTGTGAAATAAGAAATCATTCGTAACCTTTGGTCCACATATACTTTTAATATTGAAACGTTTTCTGTAAGCTTTTCGTGACTCTGCGCAATAAAGGATTTCAGATTTATCCACATGAATTGATTAATTATGACAAGCCAAATGTGTTGATCAAGTTTTAATTGTTTCTCGATAATGCGATACTATATATCCACTATGCAGAATAGCCAAAACACTAATTGGTCCATGTTTTACGCTATTTGCGTCATAAATGTACATATTATGTGATGTTATATTTTGGACATTAACAGCATATTTTGATAAGCATCATTTTTATTATTGTTTAAAATTCTCTACTTATTATCTTTTGTCAAGAAGCGTTAAAATATTCTCGTGTAAAAACGAGTTGACATCACAGGCTATTGTCTTTGTAAATTCATTCAATAGGTTTTGATTATCGATATGACGTCATTTCCTCTTTCTGTCATTTTCTTATAAAATGAAATAGGTTTGGTTTTTATTGTTGTTCATTGTTCTTGTTTTGTCCGCAGACAGTTCGGGGTTAGACTAGGTTATGTACTGCACTGAAGTTGTTGTATAATTTTATTTAAACGGTAATTTATTTAGCGCAAATTAAAATGTTTGATAGTCGTTTAGTTTTTAAAGCTGTTATTTTCAGCAACGGTTAGGGTTTAACTTGGACTTTTTGAGAAAAAAAAAGAAATTGTTTCTTCCCTCTTTATTATTTGTATTTCATTTAGATTTTAAGTTATGTTTCGTAGTATATAGCCTACACATTTATTTATATATAAACTATGTCATTTGTATTTTTCAGGTTATGAAAATGACGTAATATTTGATCCCTGAAAATCTCAGAATGTGTGATATTCTGTTCAGTGAAAAATGATAACATTAAAACCATCTTGAATTTCATGAGGTAATGTCGAAATCTGATAACGATACACCACCGCATACGTCATCAAGACCTGCATGCATGCCTAGCAACAAGGACGACGGGTTTCTCCCGCCAATAAATTTTCGGGGAACACCGAGCAGTGATTCTGATTCTGACTGTCGGCGAAATGGGCAATTTTCATCCAATGAGAATTCATCTTTGTCGTCAAGTCCAGTGAAACTTCCGAGTATTGGGCGCTCTTTTTCTACGAGTGTGTCTAGTTTGCATAAAGGGTTAAAGGAGAAAGATCGAAGGGAGATAATATGTCGTTCACCAAGTTGTCCGTCAAACATAGGATTATCCACGACCAGGCAGTTAGATTTTACACCCGAAAACAAAACCACAAGACGGGATAGATTTGAAAACGATGATGACGACGATGATGATCTCCGACTACCGTCTATTTTTCAAGACCGGAAGTCGTCTGTTGCTAGTTATGTGACACCGCGTAATACGAATAAAACTCGTACGAATAGCCAAAGTCGGCCATCATTAAAAGCACAGGATCCTAATCCAAAACACAATGGTTTCGACAAACACGAAAAGTATTCGCTGTGTTCAAACACAGACCCAGTGCCAGCAACGACACCTCGAAGTGAAAACTTGGATACTCATAGATCTACCACCCAATGTGCCCTTTTATTACCCTTACGTAATACGGAAACCAGAAAATCAAAACGGAAGCGGCGGAATGCCCACTATAGACAAAACACTCAATTGAGTACAAAATCTGAGAGTGCTGCGTGTGATGACGTCAGTAAAAAGGATGTTATAATACCGAGTAGTCGATCAGAATACAATGGTTATAGTCCAGTTCGGGAATTAGACGCTTCTCGTAACCTCTCAGAATCTGATGATCTCCATAGCGATATAAGCAGTGAAGGAAATCCCGTACACCCTTCGTATCACGTGACCAAGCATTCTAATAAACATCAAATGAGAATGAAGGACATGGCCCATGTTAAAGCTTGAATCTCAGTGCTTTCTGTGTAGCGATTTGTTAGAGAATTTTCTGTTTCTTACAACTGACCTGGTTGGCTATTGCTTGAAAATATAAGAACATAATGATTGTGTCTGGAATTAGGCCATTGGGTCTATATTTATTTGTGTGCTAAAAGAAACCCATTTTCGCTTTATGGATGGTGTTAATATAATTCCGTTCAATCTAAAGTATGTAATGGATTTCTCCCGAGAAGTGGCAAAATTAATCTTTCACTATCGCATTGGTGCGCGATTGTTCTAAAATCTAATATTCTCTGAATAGATCATAGCGTGGCTTTACTTTTAAAAAATGCCTAATTTCGACTGTAAGAACGTAAGCCAGGGAAAAATGGGACCCAATATGCCTGTTCTACAAATATATGCTCTGCAAAAATAAGAGTTTTGATTTTATGTGTGAAGAAATTATTAGTATATAATATTTTATTTAAATGTTTTTATTTTTATCTTTATGAAAAGAATGGATGTCTTTGCTGATGTCAGTATTACAATGTACAGTCGCAATTATATTATTGTATTAGTCGCATATAATTTAAGACCCATCGTTTCTCTGGATATTCTGCGCACCCCCTGTAGCCAATTCTATAACGGGTAATGGCATAATAAATTGGCGGCCCTGTCATCTATGCCGAAGGGAGGGCTTAAACATCCCATCCCTTGATTTACAAGAATAATCCCAGAACAGTACCTCCTAGATTATTTAGTAAAGCACTATGCATACAAGTCAGGCCGACAACCTACATAATTGCTATCCTGGTCAGGGAAATAATTAGAACAACTTGTATTAAAGTTCGTCGTGATCAAACGGACCGTCGGAATTTTCCCAACCCTTTAGAGATGGTGATCAAAAATTATTTTATTGGACAAACAACTGATCCCCAAGCAATAATCATGTTGTTCTTATTGGGAGCGACGGTCTTCGAAAACAGCTCAAGGCTCCGCCAGTTCAAGTACGATCTATATGAAACTTTGATTCTTTGCAGATATATATATATATTACCATGTCTTAAGAGGAGAGTGGCAGGAGCGATGGGTTTCTGTGAATGTCCATTAGTCAGAATCCTCAAATAACCTTCATTTCTTATATTATTATCATAATCATTATTTAAATGTATTTATCGTTAGCCTGTAGAAACAAAAACAAAAAACAAAAACAAAAAAAAATCGCTGTTACCAGATATTTAATACTTTATCGGGGTAACTCGTCAGTTTGTAATCTACGGATGCAAAAGTAGTTGAACTTTCGCACTGATAGGAAAAGATGTCGTTTTTGAGAAATGGGAATATGACCACGGGTTGGTACATCGAAAATATTTGCATTTAAAAACAAAATGAAGTATTTTTTGCTAAAAGGAGGTTATCATCTTTATCGACCATTTTCCCCACGTTGTATGTCTTATTTAATTTCCATTTATGAAATCATTTAATTGTTTGTTTGTCACTTATATCACTTTACCTGTAGAGTGTTTCGTCATCAATATTATTATTTATTTATTCCATGTGTACATAATATGGCATAAAGAAAATGGTTTGTCCAAGAATCTGTGATCGTGTAAATACATAAAATAGATTTGTAGCTAAAGGATCTTTATAATATGTAGTTGTATTGTGAAGGTAGGTGGCGGGAGAGGGGTGGGTGTGATATATTTTAAAGGGAAGTAATAGATACGTCTGGGGAACGGGGTACAAAATGAGATACTTTACAGAAAAAAAATAATTGTATTTAAGTTCGAAGCAATGAAATGAAATGGAGTTTTACGTCCTATGGTTTAGCCTCGGCTGGGCTAATGAAAACGGTTTCGTTCGAAGACTTAAATTAGTTTAAAAATTTAATGAATGTTGTGATCGTATATTCTGTCTTTGATTTTGATTCTTGAATGTACTACTTTAAGAAATTATGATTTTATTTATTTATTGTTCATTAGCTATTTTTGATTATTGAAGAAAGAAAACGACGAAATGAAAGAAATAGAATTAAATTATTATAATCTTGCACTATTTATTATATTTTTTAAATTAAATTATTTGTATGTTAAGTATAAATAACTAATCACGCCTCATCATAAAACCGTCCAATTGTATAATATAACTTTATGTACATTATTTATATAGTTACATATTATGTATATAAATGTCTTAATATATATCATTCCGTCCATACCTATTTTTTGTATACATGTACATGCATATTATAATTTTTACGAAAAGTGTTCATATACACGTTTGTATTTAGCATACCGTCCATATTTGTTTGTATATGTTTTGTTTTTTATGCAAATTATTCATATTAATTCGTCTATTTTAAACACTATGCTTTGGTAAATAATGATTTATGCTCCAATATACCAATGCAATATAGGCGGAACCAATCATAATTTATTTGATTTATAGAGTATATGTTTAGTACTATAGTTTATATTTGAAGCGGAATATATCGGAGTATTGTGGGAGAGAATGTTTTGTATGTTAATTTGGTATGTTTTAATTATTTATACATATATTTTATGAATTTGTTATTATTGTATGGCTGATAAACATGAACAAAATGGTAAATTGTTTATTTGTATGTTTGTTTGTTTGTTTGTTATGGCTGTCGTATCAAATGTTTCATTCATCCTTTATTAAAATTATATACAGTAATTTGAGTTTTTTGTTTTAGCATCTGTTATTTTCAGTAAATTTTATTTGCAAAACCCGATAAACTTATCCACGCTGTTCTTAGCCCGGATTTAAAAGTTTAATTGAAGCTTATAAATAGGTTTGTTTCATGTCGCGGTTTTATATCGTCACATGAATTTGGGATCACGCAGCTGACACATCATAAGAATTCTAATGACGATGTTTGAGGCCATCCAAGACAATGCCATTTTAATAGATGTCCATATCTGAAATCACGTTAATCGGCCAATAAAATGTACAAATGGTTTGATTTAGTTTTATTCCATCTGCCTGGTAAATTGTTATTCCATTACCTAACGTGCAGTCATTATACACTATTCTCAAAGACAGCAAGAACAGCTTTTTACGACCAACCGTGATTCACGGTGTTCACTGGAGCAGGAATATTATGTAACCCCTAGCATATATTGTATTTTTCTTAGTCTGGTTTCATCTTGTGAGTAGTGTGGGATGGGACGAAAAACCGCGGTCAATTCGTACACTTAAAAGAACCCCTGGCGATTGTGAAGTAGACAGGAACCCCGCTTAAAACGTACTGCATAGCATATACCCGTCTTTATTTCCCAGTTGGTGCAGATAAGTTGGAAGCTAAACCTTAGTTTCATTTTATCAAGAAAAATCCAAATCTAAATGGTTATGGAACAAAACAGATCTCTCCCACTTCCACCGGTCCTCCCGTAGCAGGGTAATATTAACACTTTGCGATAACATAAATATGTTAAACCAGATGTTTACGAGCAGTATTAGATTAAACTATGCGAAAACGTTTATCTGGAATTTGAAAGCATAATGTAATGCGATAGAACAGACAATTTAGAAGGCCGAGTAGTACTTAGGAATTTGGCAGCGTGTTTCCCCCTTGTCAGTGGCACAAGGCGGGGTACCTTTCAAGAATGGTGTCTAGAGGATTAGAAATTGTTCATAAAATTAACGTTAGATTCACATCATAACGTAAAAGTGACCATTACCATTCTTACGTAAAAGCAACTACATATGTAAAATTTTACCATTGTCGGACGCTAATACCTAAAGTTAACCAAAATGACGTAAAGTTTACCTAAATTTAGCGTCATGATGTTATCTGGAACGGGGGTCCCACGTAAAACCCTTGGCAGTTAAAATTCGTCGAAGAGTAGGCGGAAACCCGTTTCCGGTTGATGCAGAAAAATAGGACGTCAAACTCCATTTCACATTTCATTTTGTTAGGTTGTTTATAATGGCTATATGTACAGATCTTTAATACCAGACGAGAACAACTTGTTGTATGATTGTACTGGAAGATAAACCATGTTTTAAAATAATATCGCAATCAAAATATTTGTAGTACACAATGTAGTACAAAATTAACATCCACATTGGCTTCGGTGAAATGGCGTGTATGGCAAGACTGCTAAAGATGAATAAGATGCTACAGCACCACCCAGGTGACCAACCAACAACAGTAAAGTTACTAATCCCTATAATTAACGTGTGGGTGCGTGGGTTGGGGTTATTGGTCTAGCATTAGATCATAAGGCCTGCCGTTGATTCAAGTTTTGATCCTAAACTTGTCGGTGACAAGAAAGTTAATAGGCTCGCCTTTGAACCTCCCACTGCTCAAGACCTCAATGCGCATGCCATTTATTGAAATGTACCATGTATTGATTTTAGCCATTTGTAAGGGTGAGAGCAGCTGATATTGCGAACGATGGGAGATAACTATACTCTTGCCAATCCGCCCATTAAGGAGTACTTAACGAATCACCTGAACACCGTTTTATTTAGAACAGAATTTATTAACTAACCCAACGAAAATTCTATATTTCAGAGCCACTCAAAATGCAAATCTCTAATTTTATTTGGACGGAGCAGGACCCCATGTTTTTATCTTTACGGATCGTTTATAGCCTAAATATGTGTACATCAAATCGCCCGCTTTTAAACTTTAAACGGGTACTCCGTACGAGGATTAACTATTCTACCGTTTAAATAATAATTCAAAAACTTTATTTTAAATTTCTTTTTATTGTTATGGCAGGAGTGGATTTCACTACCCGGGCGCCCTTGAGTCGCTGTTCAGACATGTAAATCAGATACACGCGGCCATTCAGATATGCAAAATATTTATGTCACATTTTTAGACGCAAGTAAAGCATTCGACCGTGTCCATTACGTCAAATCATTCAGAGTTCTGATAAAAAGAGGTTTATGTCCACTTTTATGCCGATTTCTTTTAAACAGTTATATTTACCAAGCGATTCGCATAAAGTGGGATAACATGTTACTGAATCTTTTAATGTCAAAAATGGTGTGAAACAGGACAAACGAACACTGTGTTGTTGAGTGTCTATTCTTAAAGCTGAACTGTAGATCGGATGATTTTAAACAGTCCTGATTTTGAATAAGAATAATCCTATCAAATAAGTTCCCATAGAATTTATTATATTTCAAATGCTTAACAGCTTTTATAACATCTGACGTAGTTATCACATGGTGATGGCGCATTCATATAGACAGCAGTTTCTAATATTTGATTCAAGTTCTTCTTGTAGTTTACTTATTTCTTGCTCATTATATGGTACACAATTAAATAATTCATTATATTTAGAGAAAAACAAATTTGCAATATTTTCTGAGCCTATATATTACCATCGACGCAGTTAGGCGTATTACTACATGAGCCTTTAATCTTCTGTGTCTGTGTCTTGATATTCGTGTCTATAGACAGTAAGGTCTGCAGAAAACTGTGCAAAGCGAGAGGTAAACAATAACATTAACAATCAGCGTTCGCAAGGGTTGCTGTTCAACATGGCGGATAGGTGCGTAAATGATTCGCTTTAAAAAAGAAAGAATGAATGTCTGTATGTATGTGACTGTTATGCGATTGGTAAAGCTGATCAACAGTTTAAAAGGGCCTTGCTGCATGAATGATGATTAAGTGGTAGAAATCATGTAAACAAAGTCGTAGAACTCTTCGTATAATAAGTAATAAAGTATGGTGGCCCGTTATTGTCATGGCGAACTTTGCAGATGACTGCCGATTATTACGAACTGTACTTAAAGATACCCGTTATTGTCATGGGGAACTTTGCAGATGACTGCCGATTATTACGAACTGTACTTAAAGATACCTTTCCGTGTACAAACTGGGGTATTTGATCATATATTTAGACTAAAAACATATTAAAACTAATTAATCTATCAAAGATTTGCTTCAATTCCCTCTCAAAACATTATATTCAAAAGGGAATACCCCAAGCTATAAAAAATCTATAAAAAGAAGTCATGTTTGTGTCACGTGATTTGGCGGTCGCGCAACTAGCAACGGGTGCTGAGCCGGAGGAGAATCCATTGCATATAAAAGACGATGTTGTCTTTAATCGATCTCCATTTACCATAAATATCGAAGCCTAAGTAAATTCTCGGATAATCACTTACCCATGTCTTTTTCCGCGGTTTTTATCCCAGAAACGGTTGTACGTTTAAGTCTCTCACCTTTTCCACGTCCGCTCACCATCAGGTTTATCAACATATACACCAGTCGCTCTTTAACGCAAAGAGGTCAGAGAATCTACGTGTGCAATCTTTGGCGTCACTCGGGTCTCTCATTTTTGTCGTATGCGGGCTCCATAGGTGTTTTTCAAGGAATCCATTATTTTTCTAGTAAGACTGGGTCTCTACTTCCGATATATACCAAAATGTCCATACTTTTATTAGAACTACCACCCGATGAATACTTTTCGGAGAAAGTATCTTTAAAGAAGCTGATAGTCATTTGAATTTTTTTTTCTGACAATACTTAAATTTTTAGGGCTTAGCTAAAGTGTAGTCAAATTTTTATTCGACATTTAAGTCTCTGAACATCATTGAGGTATTGTTAAATCCGTTGCAAACTACAATTTGTTGAAAAGCACTTTAAGGGATAGTTTAAAGCACTTTAATTGAACGACAGGACAGATCCACACTCGGTTGTACATGTAGTTACAATAGTTACAATACGAAAGTGTGTGTGTTAGGGGTGGGGGACAAATAAATAAACTTAAGTTCTATATAACCCTTATAGAAAACCCCCAAGAGATCTTGTACTGTTGTACATCAGCACCAATTGGGGAGAGTTCCTTTACGTCAGTTATATATATACCTTCCCCCGAACAGGTTAAAGATTTAGTCAGAGGACAGTTTCATAACATTCATTTAAAATATTTAGTAAAATATATTCTTTTCTTTCTAGCACGATGAATGTAAACTGTTTACTGGAAGCTAGTGACAGAGCCTTAGAATATTTGCTAAATCGTTTAGATGATGGTGCAGAATTTGTGAGTGATGATGCCAAACAAGAGCTGTGTGTAGTTTATAAATTACCCATGCTGCTATTGGTTAAAGGGCGAGAAAAGTTGGCCAACCAGGTTCTGGATAACATTAAAGAGAAGTTTATGCAGTCTGATGGGGATTTCATCTCTTATAAAATGAAAAATGGTATAGATCGAAAAACAGCAAGTGGACCTTTAGCGCATTTCTGGGTATATATGAACGGTTGGATCGCAATGGCTGCTCATCGTGCCGGAAGGTTTGATATTTCTTTCCCGGCTTACAATTACATGAAATCGTTCTATAATCCAGATATGAGAAGTATTACTTGTTCGGAATTGTATAATGATGTCACCAAAGGTAAAGGTCAAGAAGTTGGAATATTCATGACGTCACATGTTGGTTTAACGGCTCTTTATTTTGGAGGTTAGTAGGCTTACACATCCAACAATAGACAATATCTAATTTTCGGTGCTTTAATCTATGCTAAAACTTACCACAATTGATTATATAGTATTTAATTAAAGAGGCAATATGTAACAGCTAAATCTGCCTATTGCAGGTATTTTTTCTGGCTTCATATTTATATGAATTATAATTTAGACATTTATTTAATGAAAGGCCCACAATCAACACTTTAGAGCATTGGATGGCTAAGATATTAAGAGGATTAGACAATGTCCGCCACATTTTCGTTAGACTTCAATGTGGACGCCACTCACGGGAACTGCTGATTGAAGGGCTGAGATATCGTTTATTATTGTGGCAGTGGAACTTGACAGTCGCCAGAAATTTGACTGAAAATTTAAAGGAGCTAAATCGCTAATATTTGGCATCTAGAAATTGACAGAAATGGGTCACAATGCATATAATAATGTATATTTGAATGTATATAAACTGATTTACATTCAATCATTCTGTTTTACTCTTAATTTCAAATCGAATGGTAATCTCTAGCGTCTGATTATTCCAGTCTACATCGAAAGTATTTATTGCGCATGCTCTCCAGATAAGAATATGGCATCGCCGTTTGACATGACTTGTGGAATATTTCTAGCCTCGTTCTTCGGGTCCCTTGTTAGAAATGGTGCTGATCGTGTACCAAGGGTAAAATGTTTATTTTGTCTTAAATATTTCATCGTTTCAATGTGGATTTAAATTGACAAGTATGTAATTTGTGTTTTCAATGTCGAAGACTTTTGATGATACTGAGTTAGAGACTTAGCTAGGTTATGGGAGATTCGATAATGATTTGGCAGTTCTCACTATAATAGTTAAAAACTAGATAATGTAAAGGCAATTTGCTGAAAATTTGATTCAAATTGATCCACTATGAACCGAGAACTAAGCGATTGAAATTTCCGCCTAGCCTCGATCATCATTACTAAAGTCAGTACGATAAACAGCATAGTCTCGATTATCCATTTAATCGTTAAATCGTAAGTTATGCAGTAAATCGGCTCATGATCCACTATAGATCGAAGACTAGCGATACCATCTAGAGTTGATTATGGTCTGAATAGGTTAATTAATGTCTAATTAATAATTTAGATAATATTTCAGACCCAGAGAAAGACCTGCAATAGACAGATTTAGCTAATCCCGTCTCCATTAGCCCAGTTCGGAGCAGAACAGTAGGACGTTAAACCCCATTTCATTTCATTTCTTGCATAATGTATGTTTAAATATTCATTTTATTTTTATACGCCCATATGGAAATGTGGTCGTATATTGCCCTCGCCCCCGTCGGTCCGTCGGTCGGTCGGTCCGTCCGAATTAGTAAAACGAAAAAGCCTGTCGAATTTCAACAATTTTCTGTAGATTACTTCTAGAGTTACGGTCCTTGTTTTAGTTTTTAGAACTTTGTGAATCCTCAAACGACGAAAATTATAATGTCATCTGTATGAAAATGTCCATTAAATGCCCCTAATTATCTACAAAAGAATAAATATGCGACAATCCTTGTCGACCGCTCGGACGATTTAGCTGCTGTGGGCGTATGTTTTGGTCCTGGCAACCTATCTTTCGTTATGTTTTTAAAATAGTATAGCTCTTTGTCTAAATCTCATTATATAATGCATCTTTAAGAAAACAAAATCAACACATCCACGGTAGATAAACCACCGATGGTATTCAGTCTGAATAATTAGAGGTCAATAAAAGGATTACAGCATAAATTATATTTGACGCTGGGTGGCTTTGGCCATATCCTATATCGCCTGCAGCGGATGCTGAATATTTCAAGATTTCAATTTATCATTAAATCTTTGTAAATATTGATACGGAATTGAACGATTTTTAGACAGATATTCGTTTTGGATTCAACATTCACAAAATTATCGTATGCAAGACAGCATTGCACTGGCTCGATAGCCAGAAGTTCCTAAGTTTCTACTCGATGCGAGTAGAGACAATTCCCCGGGATTTTTTCTCACTTTTCTCGTAGCACATTGCATGGCCTATCTATATGGATGTTCTATAAAAGTAGCTATTTCATTTAATTTCGTATTGTATTTTACAAACCTCATCAACTCCTGGGTATGCAGTTGTTAAATTCACACAAATGAGATAAAATGAAATGGGGTTTAACGTCCTACTGTACTGCTCCGACTGGGCTAATGAAACATAAATTGGAACAGGGTGTTGTGATTGTCTTTAGTCGATAAATTGGTTGTGACGTAACACGAACACTCACTGTGCGTGTGGTTTTTAATGACGGGAAAATAATCCACAAATTAACCTGTAATCATTTTTTTTTAGAACTTGATTTTGCTACAGGACTTGGTGACTCTGTTGAAAGATTTGTGGCAAATCAACCCAATCTACAGGAAGAATTTTTCATACGAATGTCAACAGATACAAAGAATGTTGTTCGAGAAGCAAGTACCCCAGAGTTAGGCCCCTTTTACAGTGTCAAAGTATCCCAACCAAATCAGCTTTATTTTCTTCTCGGCTATCCTGTGATATTCCTGTGTAAATTATTTCAAGCTACACAGAAGCAACACTATTTGACATCAGCTGAAAAGATTCTTGATTTTGTACTCTCTTGTGATAAATCCATGTATAATTTTCACTTCAGTCACAAGGTCGCATATGGCGCTGCCATGGTTGCTAGAGAAACCAAAAATCTTCAGTACAAAGAATTGGGTGAAAAAATATCCCAATATCTCCTTGGAATCCAAAGCAAAGATGGCGACTTTCTGAATTCTCAATCGGTTCATGATAATTATGATCAAACAGCAGAAATCGCAATATGGCTTAATGAAATTTATGTGGAATTGAGCCGATTTAGAAAATGATATACATGTATTGTCATCGTCAGTACATGCCGTTTTCAGAAGTAACATTTAAAAATGCGAATAACATATTCAGACATTCCCATGCACTGGACGTCCTTTAAAAATAATAAGCTTGAAAATATAAGGGTAGACCACACTGACGCATAAACACCACTGTGCCGTTAAAAGCTATAGGAATTACTTGCAATCTACAATATTGTCAAAGAACAATCTCTAATAGGAATATCAGTCCAATAATGGTTCATTTCCGTTCAGTACATGTATATGCAAAGATATGTGGAATTGAAATTTTATCTATCTATGCTGCTCGCTTTGCAATAAACCCGCAGGCCGCAGCCATTTTGTTGTCCTTAAAAATTTAATGATAGTCCTGTTTTAGTTTTAAATCGGGGGGTCACGGTGACTAAGTGGGTTAAAGACTTTGGCTCGCTAGCCTGGAGGTAGGGTGTTCGATCCCTGCATTGGCCCAGGAAGTTCATCCAGATTTTCCGGCGTGGTTCCTACCTTGTCATTGATGCAGGACGGAGGGCCTGACAAGGACATATGTCTAGTTGTTCGGATGGGACTATAAACCGGGGTCCCGTGTACACATTGGTGTGCACGTAAAAGATCCCTTGACAGTTGGAATTCGATATAAGTGTAGGCCGTAGTGCCGCTGTCCGGGCATAATTTCCCTCATAGAACACTGTATGGCGTATGCCCGTATTCATTAGCCCAGTTCAGTAGGACGTTAAACCCCCCATTTCATTTAATTTGTTTTAAATCAGCTTGGATATTATCTAGTTTTCGAAGGCTACTTTAAAGATGCATTATGTAAGATTTAGATAAAGAGCTGGCCATTCTTGTTATAAATAGCTTAAAAATAGAGAAAATGTAAAATTCATTCAAATTGCTTCATTCTGAGCCAAGTTATTGCCGTTTGTAGTTTTGACAAGATGTGTGCATAGTGGTAACCAGGTCACTAATAAATTCGAGACTTATTATTTGATACTGTGCCACCATAGATCATATGGACACAGATCACCAAATATTCCTACGCCGTCACCCACGAAACAAGGGCCAAAGCTATTTTTAGTCTTCCTCTCCCTTTTCCTTTTTCCCCCTTTTGCATGGCGATTTTTGTTGACTTGTTGGTGTAGAATTGAGGAAAAGGGTTTGAAAAAACATTTTCTGCCAGGTTTTGGTGAATATTCATAATTTTGATGCGGAAGGATACAAGAGTTGAGAGGTTGGTTACGTTGAAATGTAGGGCCTGAAATTGCATGTTTACTTGTCTCTACTTCCAGCTTGTGTATCTCAAGTTTTTCATGAAGAACCTCATACGTGCTTTTGGGCAAGTGGTTGCCACATGTTGCTCCATCTGTGGTAGAAAGCGTTCTACCCAACGAAAATTTGGGAAAAAGTTATAGCCAGTCTAAGATACGAGAATTAACATTGGAGTCAATGGGGAAATCTTTAGTGACCTGTGTCCTGTCTGTGTGTGATAAGGCTGTCACTGATATGCCTTAGTTTTGAAAATATGAAGATTAAATTCTCAGAAAATATGAATAAAATAGTTTGGCTACAGAAAAACTAAAAAAAGTTAATTAAAAAAAAAAAAATCAAAGTTTTGAAGAAAAATTGTGATTTTACTGCAAATTTCTCAATTTTCAATTTTTATTGAATTTTTAACAGTAAGTAAAATATTCTAATGCCCAATGTTGGCTTATTCAGTCTCAGAAAGCACAGATAAAGTGAACAGTATTAAAATTTCACCAAATTTTGTCTAAAAATCAGGAATATTCACAAAAAATCTTGAGATTCCCCCCATTTGGATGTAGAAATTAATATTTTCATGACTACTAAAATGAGTCAAAATGTCTAAAAATGCCCATATTTTCTTTGCTAATATAACTTAGATGGGATCTACATGTTTGTCAGGTTTAGAAATAGCTCCAGCTTTCCTACAGAAAATTTAAAATTGGTAACACTGAGTTAATAATGTACAGCAGATGGGTTTGTACAAAATGTTCAAAACAGGGGTTGGCTCAATTTTGCCACTATTTTACCCAGAATAAGCATTTTTTTCTCCTTTGAAACATTAAATTCTTGCATTTCCTTCATGTAGGAAGCAATATCCCAGCCTTTCTAGACATTTTTTACTCCATCATTCTGTTTAGAGAGGCAATAAATGCCCCACCCCAGCCTTTTCTATTAATGTGTTTTGAGGGATTTAAATGCACCTGTGTTGACATGTAAATGATCTTAATTGGAATTTGTGGTTGAATTACAGCTAAGAATGTTATTTTTCACCCAAAAATATTTTTTTGGTGCATTTCAAGGATTTCTAACCCTTATTTGTTCAGAGTCAAACGTAGAACCCTGAGGCATTTCAGGCCAATGAGACCAGACCCAGATATAAAACTGGTGTAGATGTGTAAATGTCAGTTTAATGTTCAATATTTTCTTATCAAAATCCAGCATTTGTGGTGTTTGCTGCATTTATGTTGCCTATAAAACAATAAAATGTTAATTTTTCTCCTTTTCAGGCCTCTTTTTATGTTGTCAAGTCTGTCATGACTACTTTTTTGACTTCATTTTTTCAGGAAATTAATGTAAAGTTCCAGACATCTTGCTTCAGCACAAGGATTGCAATACAAATTTGTAACATGCCTCTGAGGTTTGAGATGTTGGAAACATTGAAATATTCCCAAATTTGTGAAAATTGTGTATTCTGTGACCCTTCTGTTAGAGAGGGGTGATCATAGACCAAATATGGCATTTTTTTCATTCATCAAGGCCTATTTTTAACCATAATTCATATTTATTGCACCTATTTTAGTTTATATGTGCATATGTTAGCCAGGGATGGTAAAACATAACTGTTAGACAGATTCCTTTGGTAATGTAAGTTCTGCAACCATAGATTAGATTAATTCAATCAGTGGCATGTTCAGGGGGTAGGCATACATGTTTCAGTATAGATCTCTAATATTACAATCATTGCAACTGGTTTGCATTTTTTCTGTTTGCATATTGTCCACAGATTCTAAAAATATATTTCTTGTCCGTCCGGATATTTAAAAAAGTGGAAAATTATTGGTATTTTGAGAGATTCTACATGTAAATTTTGTACATTTTTCATCACATGGCAGTAAAAAATTATATTTTTGAAAAAAATTCCAAATTATGAGTGTTTTCTATGTAGTTTCTTTGTAACTTGTCTAATTTTTTCACAGAACACAGATACTGCCTTTAATAAGAAAGATTTTTAAATTTTAGCACAAAAGGCCTATGGACCTGAGATGCACCATTGCAGTGTACATAAAGCAGCATGTGTACTTAAAGGGCCATCATTTTTACAGTTATTCTTTGATTTTGATTTTCTTTCACTGGCATGTTGCCAGAACACATGGGAAGGAAATAAAGGCCTTTTAGTGATACCTGAAGTTTCACCCCTATATAGGACACAGATCACCAAATATTCCTACGCCGTCACCCACGAAACAAGGGCCAAAGTTATTTTTAGTCTTCCTCTCCCTTTTCCCCCTTTTGCATGGCGATTTTTGTTGACTTTTTGGTGTAGAATTGAGGAAAAGGGTTTGAAAATACATTTTCTGCCAGGTTTTGGTGAATATTCATAATTTTGATGCGGAAGGATACAAGAGTTGAGAGGTTGGTTACGTTGAAATGTAGGGCCTGAAATTGCATGTTTACTTGTCTCTACTTCCAGCTTGTGTATCTCAAGTTTTTCATGAAGAACCTCATACGTGCTTTTGGGCAAGTGGTTGCCACATGTTGCCCCATCTGTGGTAGAAAGCGTTCTACCCAACGAAAATTTGGGAAAAAGTTAGAGCCAGTCTAAGATACGAGAATTAACATTGGAGTCAATGGGGAAATCTTTAGTGATCTGTGTCCATATATACAGTTCTATGGAGTCACTCGGAAGAAAATAGTACATTGCCTATTTAATGACTTCCGGTGTGACCCCCCCCCACCCTTGTAATTGTGCCTGGCAAGGACAGCTGTATAGTCTTTCGGATGGGACGAAAAGCCGAGGTCACGTGTACATATTACCATGCACGTAAAAGATCCCTTGGAAGTTGGAATTCGATATAAGAATAGGCCATAGCGCCGCTGTCCGAGGAAAAATATCCCGCATAGCGCACTATGGCGTATTAGCAATGTCGAAGCAGAACAGTAGGACGTTAAACCCCATTTCATTTCTTTTTTTTTAAAGACAAACACCTATCAAACTAGTAAAGTTATAACCTATTACTGTGCAAATAAAATATCCTTTTCCATAATTTGAAATCTCACAATATTGTGGTATTTTAGTCTTCCTGTCTTCTGGAGATCAACGAGTTTAACCGCATTGGTAGGTTATGTTCGGCCGTCATACTTTAATACTTTCTCCGAATATGACCGAGCAAATCAGGGGTTGATCGGGGGCCCCTACTCAGCTACATAAAATTTTTTGTATATCAACACTTTTTATGAGAAGTTTCTCGGCCGTGTGCTTTATCCTTTATCGTCAGATATGGGGCAGGCAGGATGGGCACTCAAAGCACGAGATAATGATATAGACATTATGTGATATCACAATTAATGCTTTGCATCCATGAAATTGAATCACAATGTCATTGTATTATTTCATAATAAAAATTGACGTCAAACGAGGTGTTGAATTTCTCTCTTAAAAAGCTCAACGTGTATGTATATACGCCAAAATGACGATCGAGACCATGCGTGAGGGGGGGGGGGATACATTGTCTCAGGAACCTGGCAAATCCCCTCCTGCAAAAATTCCTGGATCCGCCCCTGCAAATGATTCATATGCTCACATCGAAATAAGCATCACCCAACAAAAATATTGTTGAAATCCATCTGTGTTGGTTAGAAGGTCCAAAATTGACCCATCGCGGTGCTCATGTCCACCACCCGCAGGGTATACATGCATTTGTTTAAATAATTCTGAATAAACATTAATTATCCCAGTGAGATAAGTCTAGAAAGAGAGTCTCTGTTTAGTTTTCCCGTAACAAATCACAAGTCTTACTAGAATGTTTTTAAAGAGGTATTTTATTTATACTTGATAAAGGGTACACGATACAGATTTTGGTGTAACTTTTTTTTGCCTTTCAACTTTTAATCCAAATTGTCAGTTATGCTGCGAGCGGGCTACCCAACCCTACTCCACTTTCAGTTTATGTTATATTGATATTTATTTTTTTGTGGAGGGGGAGGTAGGATTTATCCAAGGCTCTGACCAGCTTCAGGATGTTGTCTCACCCCCTGACAAATATACCATTTTGGAATTATTTTCTAAAAGTTTGCCAATTTAGTTATTTATACAGGCTTGCTTATTTATCTTTGGTGTTGAACTGCACAGCCGGCTCTTGATCCATAGCATCGTAGACGTCATTAACAGGATTAAAAGCTGAAAATTAACCGATTAGCAGTTCCCACCCCCATATACATGATACCTAACCGAAATGCATTAACGTTTAACTTCATATTGGAGTTTTATTTCATACTACGTAATTAGATATAAATGGGTGTTGAGGTTAACCTATAGCAAACACTTGACTATTCACCGAGCCCCATCAACAATTAGCCTAACCCAGTGATTCTCAACCAGTGTGCCGCGAAATTTTAAACGGCACACTTAGAAAATGCGAAAAACTACGTGATCCCAATTGAGTATTCTACTGTCAAGTTCATAGCTGTATTTTTCTTTGTTTAATTTTAGTCATTCTATGTCAGACCAGTTTATGACTTACCATGTTTTTATTTTGCAAAATTCAAATATTTTTGATATATATTTAGCCAGGTGTGCCGCTATTTTTTTATGTGTTCCAAGTTGCGCCGTTGGCATAAAATGGATGAGAACCACTGGCCTAACCTGATTGAGAGACGAAGGGCAGTTTTATTCCTCCAGATTATACAGGATTTGAAATACTTGACAAAATTAATGTGGACCTAAACACTACAATTATAGTATTTGATAAAACAAAATTGACTTATTTGCCTAATGCTTCTGCTATTCTCTGACCATCAATAACTTCAAGTTGTTAAAATTCCAGCTTGCTGAAATAAGGTGAAAGTACATTATTACACCTTTAAATTTAAAGTCCGTATATTTTAAAAACTAGAGCCCTTGACAGTGGTGCAGGACCGTTGGCACATTAAGAGACAGCGTTTAGTCGTTCAGATTGGACGAAAAACTGAGGTCCCGTGTACACAATGGCGTGAAGTAAAAGAACATTGACAATTGGAATTTGATATGAGGAAGTCGAAGCGGCGCTGTTCGGGCGAAATTCCCCTCATAGCAAATGTATTGCATACGCCCCTCTTCATTAGCCAAGTAGGAGCAGAAAAGTAGGACGTTGTGCTACTACCCAATTTATATTGATCAGCTTTTCAATGTTTGACAGAGGGCATTGGACCCTTATCGCAAATTACTGTTTGTATGTCTTGATGAATTCAATGTCAGAAATTATGGCTATGAAAAGTTCACTGTACATGTAATTTGTAAGCACATTGTGCATCAAGGTTTTCTACATATTGGGCGTTTTTGAAAGGGTTTCACGATCCAGACACCTTATTAATTCTTGAATGTCTTGCGATTTTTAATGTTATTCTAGTGTAGTGATGCGAAGTTGAAATTGATTTGTGATATCCAGATCGGGATGCATTTTATAGATAAATGAATCTTCCAAACCATTCACATTAATCTTGCAGTAGAACTGAGTAGAATGGCAGGTAGAGAAAAAGACCTGAAACATACAATACACTTAAGCAAATGGTTCTTGTAAAATATCAATAGAATATGTTCCTTGAGGACTAGCCATCTTCAGATCTATAAATATCCATTTTAAATAATAGTGGCAGAGAAACAACTAAATTGCTCATTCTTGACTATTTTATAAATGAATTACAACCCAAGGGAAATAACTCTGTTCTTAAGCTCAATCATTCAACTGAATGAACAAATTCAGCTGCAACTTTGGGGATGGGGTTTAACTCCACTCGACACAAACTAGGTCATTTCGGGACTAACATATGGTTTAATTTTATTTCAATAATTTGCTTGCGCGTAAGGGTCTTTAGCAGTGGGAGGAAACCGGAGGACTCGGAGAAAACCCACCAGGTTGGACAGGCGACCCTACTCCTTGTCACGTACAATCAGTACACTACATGTATATAGGAATCTAAATTGATAGATACATGTACCATTGTTATGACTTTTTACAAGATAAATGACCTTTAGTTCACAGTAACTAGGTCATTTCGGCACTTAGTAGGTAAAGGCCTACTTTACTTTTTAATAAATCCATCCATTGCATGCTGGAGTGGGAGTTACCTAAATATGTGTACCCTGGAGCTTCTGTCACAACCACAGGCACTTTTAAATTGGAGAATCCCCCAAAAATCATGAAGCTGAAGCTGAAGCTAAAGCTAAGTATAATGCCCAACGTCTATTACTATCATATTCATGGAGAGAGAGAAATGGGGTTTAACGTCGACTCTACACAAACTAGGTAATTTCAGGACTAACATATGGTTTAATTTTATTTCAATAATTCGCTTGCTCGTAGGGGTCTTTAGCAGTGGGAGGTAACCGGAGGACCTGGAGAAAACCCACGAGGCTGGACAGGCGACCCTACTCCTTGTCACGTACAACCGGGGCATATTCATGAAGTTGAGACACAATGAGAATTATTTACCCTGAATTTTATTATCTCGATTGTGAATATGAACTAACAGACTTTAGGCACACATGTAATACTTAGTCTTGGCTTACTGTTAAGTTTGCACGATTTTCCATGTAACAAACGGCTTTGATCATAAAAGGTCTTACAATAGCAAAGAGCACAATGTGAGTGCAGTAATATTTAACAGTACTGAAGATGACCATCCTGAAAAAAAGAAAATCAATCCAAATTAAAGATTGGATATTAAGTTATGTGAATTACTAAATTGCAAACACATTTTTGAAGAGGGGAAGAAATGGGGTTAACGTCAACTCAACACAAACTAGGTCATTTTGGGATTGACACATGGTTCAATTCTATTTCAATAATTTACTTGCCAGTAGGGGTCTTTTAGCAGTGGGAGGAAACCGGAGTACCCAGAAAAAACCCACAAAGTTGGACAGGCGACCCTACTCCTTGTCAAGTACAACCGACCACACCAGTTGACTCAATGACCGACCTTATGATACAGTGCGCAAGTGCTAACCATTCGGCCATCCTAACCCCTATTTTGATGGGGAAAAGGCACTTTTAATATTCTTAAAATGTCGAAGATTTAGAATCACTTATTTTGAAAACAAAGCCTCAAGGAACTATTCTATCTTAAAATTTAATTCAGAACAAGTATTTGACTGATCGATGCACAGATTATCACAAACTAGGCCAATCAACTTCTGAACCATGCATTTTTAGGGTTATTTGATTACCATATCCATTTCTAAATTCTTTCCCGATTCAGAATCTATTCTGTTTATTCCGAATAGCAACACCTAGGGTAGAAAACATGCTTGATATAATAATTAACAGACCAATATGTGTATGATCAGTTGCAACATCTTGCAGACCAAAAAACAAATGGGCAACAGTCAGGGCAGGATAATCTCACTTGTTTTAGTCTTTTTTTATCATTGCATCAGTAGACATGTAGTAAAATATCATTTTACAAGAAGGAACATGGACATGCCTTAACATCATGGATAGCTTGCAAAAATTTCTGTGCATTAAATCAATCAAATATCTGATGTAATTTACCAACTGTCTTCATCTCTAGCTGCCATTCCGTTCTCTTCCCTCAGGGTATCAGTTCTCTGGAAAAGTCTCAAACATAAATAACAGTAAGCCATTTTCATGGCAGTAAAAACACAATAATATATAAATATATTTATTTTAACATATTAACCATAATATTAATTCAATTTGAACATAGCATTATTTAAAAACAAACAACATTTTTACTTATTTTATACATTTTGTATCATTTATAACCCATTCTTTCTAACATTAATATACAAACAATACTTGCAAGTCTATCCAAGAGAAAAACTTCCATGTTAAACTTTTACAGATCATTTTCGAATCACGAATTTAACAAAATCTGTTATGCCAAATAATAGAGAAAAACTATACTAACAAATAAAAGCAATACCATATTGGGCCTTGGATTACCAGAGTTCCATTCTAATATTTTCTGGCAGAGAACATTGCAAAATTTTGCGGTTGAAGATTCAAATTTTTTAACGTGAACCTTTCAAATCATCATACACCCCCTAAGGTTCTGTAGATCAACATGAATACTTTTCTCTTGAATATACTTACCATAATATATGACAACCTCCCTTTACCTCGAACCCAAACCACTTTCATAACACTGGAACCGGAATTGTGCAAATAGAACCAGTGACCTTCACCCCTTTCTCATCACTTGCCTCATTTCTCGTAATGCTGAACAAAAAAAATTACAACACGGTAAGTTCCAAAGCCAGACTTGGCATGAACTTCACAAAATATTCAAAATAAATATTTTACAAAGAGTAAGTCATTCATTTATAACTTGGTAATTCAAACTATTAAGTAATTCTTGTCATTTAAATACAAAATTCTGGTATAAATTTACATGCACTGTGTGATAAAGAAATCTGTCTTCCGGAAAAAGATAACAGAACCATACTTTGAAACTTGTTTCCTGGAGTAGATGTAAAATTTTGAATGTTCTGTATACCTTAAACCCTGACAGACAAAAACTGTGGAGGGCACCTTACCGAATTAATCAAGATAAAGCCGAAAGAAATTCTTCCAACGGCAGCCTGTAAAGTTTGGCATTGGATATCAATCTCATACATTTCTCAAAAAACCTACAAAAGAAACTTTATGTTCATTAAAACTGTTTCCCCGAATACATATATTAAGTAATAATTTATTAACAAGTACATGTACAGGTCTAGAACTGGTTATATGAATATCAACTTTTCTGAAATATAGAACAATTTTAAAAAAACTCTAACATTTTCATGTAAATTATATCTGCACAAATATTTTGAATACGGTACCAATGCCGTTTGTGCTTTGTACCATACATAACACTAAGTGGTATTTCAAATACATTTTATCTGGAAAGTAAAAATAACTTCAGTTTTTTTCTTGGTTATTTTTTTTACAGCTTGGACGGTCTCCTTCAGTTTCTCAGCACTTCACCACATGTAGTCAATTTAATCGAGTGTCACACCTCTAGTACCCAGTGGTACAGCACGATTTGGAAGTTTTCAGGATTTTCCTTTTCCTTGAATATCAACACATTTCACACAAGTAGTTATTTCAACTATTAACACTGGTATTAGCCATGTTGGAACAATGTGAACAAAATTCAAGAGAAACAATATCATTATCTACATGAAGACAAACACCAGCTGTTTTGGAATGGTCAGTTGAGCTGGTTGCTTCTATCGATTCAAATCGTGGTCTTTTTGAATCGTAAGTGTGATCTGACTTGAGACCACGTTTTCTAGAGCCAACAGACAATGATGTGGATAGTCTAACCCCTTTAAGGTTTTCCATAGTGTTCAAAACTTTGGACAAAGTGCTTTGATTAGCTAAAACACTTTTAAAATATTCAACCTGTTCTTCCAAAGCCAGTTTATCATCTTGTAATTTCTCGTTTTCAAATTTTAGTTTCTGATTTTCTGACTTATACCCATCAATTGACTCTTCTAATTTCTGAATGTAAGCCTTCTTCTTTTCTCGGTTCATTTTGGCGTTCATGGCATTTTTACGGTTACGATCATCAAGGGCAAAGCCTACTTGAGCAGCAGTTTCAGCTGGAGTGATATCTGGTAGAGTTTTAATTACTTTTAAGATTTTAACCTTCTTAATACCATGGGGGGCCTCATTCTCTAAAAGTGTTACGGTTGAGTCTTTCTGATTGCTATTGACAACACTTCCGGCAGATGTTGCGGAGTTTGGGACAACTTTATGATTTGAACTTTTATTCAACAAACTGCGACCTTTGCTTCCACTCCTTGTGACCATTGCATTCTCTTTTCCTACCGATTCTGATGGATTCAGCACTGTATTAAATCTGAAAGATTTGTCCGTTTTTTTATTGGCCATGTAACGTGCCAGATCACCGTCTGCACCTTCTGAGATGGACTGACTATTATTGCGTCTACTCATGTACCCCATTAAGTCATCATCTTCATTGTTTGCACCAAAGGGAGAAAACTCTATAGCTTCAACAAGTTCATCCAACATTATTTCTGATCCAGTACTGCAAGACGAGTCAACAGTTTCGGGATTAATAAAATCGTTCTCAATCTCAGACATTTCACTTACACCACTGTCCGACTGATGAAATGGAGAGGTGTTCGAGATAGACGCCAGTGCTGTCTCCTGTGGAATTTCATAATTAAAAAAATTATCCATGTCAAATTCTTGAAATGAACTTGGCTCGGTTTTAAAGTCAAGCTCAGTAATGATGTCAAATGAATCGGACGCCATTTTGGAAATGTTTAGTTTGAAATGAATTGAAGAAAGGCTTGTCAAAATTGACGAAGGATTTCTCAAGTTTATAGGTTCAGAGAGTTTTAAAATCTACAAAATTTGCAACTGATCTTTGTCTTTTCAAAATGGCTAATTCTTTGATATGTTTAGAAATAATATCAACTCTTATCGTTTGCGAATTCGCGATTGCACAACAATTTGGTCAACCAAAACGTAATTTAGAAATTCTGTCTAGATCTCTACTCTAGTCGTTCACTATTATAAACGAATGATTTCAGTCAAATTCGAGTATATAACGATAATCTGGCACAATAAGTTAAAATATATTTTTACCGACAATATCAAACTACCTGAATTTCCAATGAATCCATCTACACTTCGCCGTACTCTGTAAAATCGTCGAATGACGCACCACTAGCGTTTTTCGCTTTTATACCCACCTGAAACGTTTCACCAACGATTTCCTGACAGAGCATAAAAATTACGTTGTCTATTGGTTAAAATTCGTCACATGGCTCTAGAAATCTATTTTTAGGTATGACACGCGGTAAACAGCCCGAGCGTTGTGACAACGTTTGTAGTCTTGATCAAAACTTTCATGCCTTGTACTGTAGCTTAGTTGGACACAGATCACTAAAGATTTCCCCATTGACTCCAATGTTAATTCTCGTATCTTAGACCGGCTCTAACTTTTTCCCAAATTTTCGTTGGGTAGAACGCTTTCTACCACAGATGGAGCAACATGTGGCAACCACTTGCCCAAAAGCACGTATGAGGTTCTTCATGAAAAACTTGAGATACACAAGCTGGAAGTAGAGACAAGTAAACATGCAATTTCAGGCCCTACATTTCAACGTAACCAACCTCTCAACTCTTGTATCCTTCCGCATCAAAATTATGAATATTCACCAAAACCTGGCAGAAAATGTATTTTCAAACCCTTTTCCTCGATTCTACACCAAAAAGTCAACAAAAATCGTCATGCAAAAGGGGGAAAAAGGAAAAGGGAGAGGAAGACTAAAAATAGCTTTGGCCCTTGTTTCGTAGAATATTTGGTGATCTCTGTCCAGTTACTTTCACAAAAGTACGTCTTGATTATCCTGGATAATCTAACCGACTAATACTATTTCTATAATGGACGATGGTTACAGGGCACCAAAGTATCAATCTGCTTAAAATACAGATCCATATTTCGTTTCGTTTTTTTATACTTTCGATGGCTTACACTACATGAGTAAAGACAAGTAAAACAAAATTTTGAACTATAAAAACGAAACGAAATAGGATCTGTGTTTTAAACAGATTGCCAAAGTATAACCCATTCTTATTGTAATGATTAGTTCACCAATGTTTTTGTAATAAAATAGACTCGTATTGTTTTGTTTGTTGATTGGTGTTATGATTTTAGACATAAATGATTTGATATGAAATCTGAATTGAATTAAAATTACCTCCTTTTCTGCCGCTGGGCCCGTCCCGATGCCTCTCACAAGACACATGTACGTAGGCCTACTGTAGTAAACGTCCCGGTTTTTACCTCAGGTGTTCTTCATTTGAAAATAATAACACAAAACACATTAACTAGTTATTAATGTATACTGCGTTTGCTTCATCATCTAAATCAGTGGTTCTTAACCTTTTTATTCCAGCGGCATACCTTGGAACACATGAAAAAATAGCGGCACACCATGTCTAAATATATATTAAACATATTTGAGTTGTGCAAAAAAACAAATAAACCAAAACAACAACAAAACAAAACAAAACAAAACATGGTAAGCCAGAAGGCAGAAACAACCGTAGACAGAAACTAGTCATAGACACATAAGGCGTTTTTGTGAACCGATTAGATTAGACCGATTAGCTATTATACGCATTTGTGAACCAAGTTGATTATGCTAATCGTTACATTTGTGAGACGATTTAACTCAACTGATTAGGCAAATCGACCTAATCGTCCCAGGAGGTGTTTAGGCGATTAGATTTGACGTTTTCAAAATGGCGGAATGTTCGACATCGTAAGTAATTCTTAATGCTTATTGTTGTTTTTCTCCATAAAAAATGTTTTTTTAAAACGCATTTGACGTGTTTAAAGTAGCTAAGTCTCTAACTCAATATCATCCAAAATCTTCAACATTGAAAACACGATTTATTTGTCAAATTATATCAACATTCATGTTGTGATCTTAACGGGAAAAGATGGGCTTTTGATATCCAATATTTAAGACAAAATAAACATTTTACCATTGGTACACGAATCGTGTACCACAATGCGCTTCAGCCCTAGTTGTATCAAGAGACTCGAGGGACGAGGCTAGACACATTGCACCAAATCAAACGGCGTATGTAAACTGGAATAACCAGACGCTAGAAATTTGCACTCGCTTGAGACTGCTGGCTTATTTCGCCGAACATAACGGATTTGAAATTGGAGTAAAAACGGAAACCATTGAATGTAAATCAGTTTATATACATTCATATTACAGTATTATAAGCATTGCGACCCACTTTTGTCAAATTCTAGATCCCAAATGTTAGCGATTTAGCTCCTTTAATGTTAACTTTATAGTCCACAAGAATGTTAGATCACCTCTGGCTCTAAGCAATTTTAGGCCCTCTGGGTGCCAGCAGTGTCACTGTAATCTGTAGGTAACTTGGACTACACGTGAAACACACGCCCCCCCTCGTCATGTTAGCAGAGACAATTTTTTTTCTGATCGGTGTCCGTGATGGCAGCCATCTTACCAAATCGTAATTATCAAATTTCACATTTGTGTACCATAGCTAATCAAATCGAAATCATACCAAATCGTACTAGCAAATCAAAACCTAATCTAATCGACTCACAAAAACGCCTACATAGAATAACTCAAACTAAATAAAGAAAAACACAGCTATGAACTTATCAGTAGACACCGTGAATACTTAATTGGGATCACCTAGTGTCGCGGCACACTGGTTGAGAATCACTGATCTAAATATACTTCACAGATACTCTGTGATATACTTGAACAGTGCATAATACAGGCAAAAACAGGAATTGCAATGCGCTTGTCTATACGTCAATTTCTATAGACAAGCGCATTGCAATTCCTGTTTTTGCCTGTACACGTATGATCTTGGGTATAATTTTACTGGTTAACGACATAGAGGTTTTCTGACTTTATTTTTAATTAAGACATGTAAAACAATCTATAAGTTGACAAATCGATATTTATAATGCATGTTAATGGTTTAATCAACAACATATATATATACTATTCAAAAAAAGTAGGGGATATTTGATTTTGGGGGCATAATACTAAAATATGCAAATGACAACGAAAAAAGTCACTATAGAACCTAACAGAAGAAACATTTCCAGTTACATGTGACGCCCAAACGCACCAATAGCTACCGCATGGAATGCATGTGATGCTTGGGATCATCATGGGGGTCCAACCCAAGATTTGCACGACTCTGACTTTGAATGTTACAGTCATTGTGGCATTGAATTCCAGGGTGGAAACATCAGTTTAATTGTTTTAGTGACCAGAAAACAAATTTTGATATGCGTCGGCTTACTCAAAATGAAAGGTTACGTGCCCTTGGCATGCTACAGATCGGCACAACACAGGCGGTTGTGGCGCGGACGATGAATGTTTCTCAGTCTGTCATAAGCAGGCTATGGTCCAGATACCGTGATACACAATCTGTACAGGACAGACCACGCTCAGGTCGACCAAGGGCGACAACTCAAGCCCAGGATCGATTTATCCGTACCTTGGCCTTGAGAAATCGTGTCATCACAGCAAATCAGATCAGCGCTCGTCTTCAAACAGACACTGGTGTGAGAGTGAGTGGCCAGACGATTCGGAATCGACTGCATAGGGGTCACCTTTGCGCCCGACGTCCTCGCGTGATCCCTTGTTTGAGAGATCATCACATTCAGGCAAGACGTCGTTGGTGTAGGGATCGTCAACACTTGGATAATCGACGCTGGAGCAATGTGATGTTTTCAGATGAGTCAAGGTTCACTGTTGATTTTTTGGACAGACGTAGGAGGGTGTGGCGTCGTCGAAACGAGCGCTTCCAAGACGTTAACGTCATCAGACATGATCGATTTGGGGGTGGTTCTGTTATGGTGTGGGGAGGCATCACTGTTGCTGGAAGAACGGCTTTACATGTTGTTGCAGGGCGTGTTACAGGCCAGTACTACCGGGACAACATCTTGGCCATGTTGTGCCGTTCGCACGACGTCATGGCCGCCGTTTCATCTTCCAGGATGACAACGCAAGATGTCACAGAGCCAGGATCGTTACAGGTTACCTCCAACAACAGAACATCACCACATTACCTTGGCCAGCACTGAGTCCCGACCTCTCCCCCATCGAGCATGTCTGGGACATGCTTGGACAGAGGTTACGTCAACGTCAACAACGTCCTGCCAATGTCCAAGAACTTGCTGCTGAGTTGCAACAGGAATGGGACAATCTGGACCAAAATGACCTTAGACGTCTCATTAGGAGTATGCCACGTCGGATCAATGCTTGTTTGGCAAACAGAGGAGGATTTACCCGTTACTGACTTGGTTGTGATGCTGTGGTAACTTTGCTGTTTGACCCCGGGTATCATTTTACCCTTATAATGGTCAGTCTGTGCCTTACTTAGTCTAACGATCATTTGGAATAAATCGATGAATGTGAACTTCATTTCATTTTGTCATTTGTTTCTTCGTCAGTTTCATTAGGTGACTTTAATAACACTTAAAAATCAAATATCCCCTACCTTTTTTGAATAGTATATGTTTGATGGAACTACAGTCACAAAAAGGCGGAGAACGCATTTCTCGGATTCTCGAAATGAAATAATTTCTGAGCTCCATCTCCCGCCCCCAGTAACTTGGCGCCTTCGCGTAATTTCTAAAGCTGCTGCAATAACCAAAAAGCACAATATTACTGCTATGCAGAATCGTCAACAATAGATTTTTTTTTACAGCTGTAAAATTTGATAGATGGCTATTTATAGACTCATAGACTCTTGTGCACATTCGCCTATCAAGTTCAACTTTCGGTAGGGAACATTTTCGCTGTATGGGATACCCTACAAATGGAATAGAAACACAGCTACGTAATATTTGATAGCTGTGTAGAGAATTTCACGTGCGACGATATTTATAGACTCATAGACTCTTGCGCTGAGTGTTATCGTATCGCGTGACTAGTCAGAAATCACTCCGAGACAAGCCACTCAAGCGTGCACATTCAGAAGGAAAAATTTTCGCTGCATGGGGTACCTACAAATCGAATAGAAACACGACAACGAGACCTTGTTTTAAACGTAATCGTTACTGCATGCTCTAAAAATTTATACCGTACCATCATGCCTTTTCATTGATGTCCATGTTTTAAACTTACACAGAATCAATCGGTGATATTAATAAGTAGACAACTTCAACATCTTACTACAAGGCATTTAGGTTAATGGTTCGTTTAAAACGTTC